CTTAGTTGGTGCCTTTGTGGGGCAGACTCGCGAGATCTGCGACCAACCACGCCTTGTTACTTAACCACCTATGGCTAGGTGAGATGGTTACTTAACAAGTGGCTTCCGTCAAGGCTGGTTCCACCGCGATCTGTTTTTAGCATTGGTTTCGCTCCTAAAGTTAGACTGGAAATGGGTTTGGGCGCAGTAATTAGTCCGGGGTAGTCCGTCCACATGTGCTACCCGTGACCTGGTATCTGTCCCAGACCTATGGGGGCACGCTCCCCACGAAGGCGAGACGTACATGCTCTTGCGTGCGACGACGCGCCCACCACACCACCGTCAAAGTCGGTAGCCTACATGCTGTCTGATGTATGGGTGACATGTAACTACGCGGATGTGGGACTAGGTTTGTGTGCGATCTAGGGTTTACGCCGGTGATGCGGGATTTTGTGATGAGCTACAGACTGCGTTTATTTGCTGAAGATCGTCATGCATATCCATATGCCCGATCGTCCCGAGGCAATGTAGGCAAGCGAGACGGAATGACAGATGTACATTAGAGCTCCTGGTGCTGGTTCACCGGTCGGGACGACGTGTGACCAGGTGCAGTCGCGATGGGGACGGGTTGGAGCTGCCCACTGGGGGTCGGGAGCGTATTCAGTTGTGATGTTAGTGGTGGTGGAGGAGAGGATTATGGCGTTGGCATCGCACTGGAATTATGGATGTCTGACGAGGCAGACCGCGCCCCAAATGTCAGTTTACAGTGTTGACGAGATGGTGGGCATTGGCGACGATCCGCGGTCTACGTGGCTTACGTGTCGCCCTAGTATTAGCCACTCATATACCAGGTATCATGTGGACTGCGGCTCTGGCTCTACGGCAGGCCTTTCAATAAACGAGTACCATTGCGAGTGTCAATAGGGAATTTCAACTGCTTGATGAGTACCATCTTACTTGACATAGAGAAAAACTGCAGGCCAGACCTTCAGCGGGCAAAAACAGGCAGTTTAGAATCCCGGCGTTTCGCGCAGCATAAAACAAAAAAGTACAGGACTGCCACTTGATCTACTTTCCTGCATGGGAAGCGGACGTGGAAACTATAATAGTCAAGAGGGCCAGACCGCTCACTTCAAATGCCTCCAGAGGATGCTGAGGTACTGGAAGGGAGGGAGCGTCCAGCGCACGCATGCAGAAGCACGTGCAGCTGAGCGACCAACTTTAAAGAGTGGCTGAAGAGCAACTGTCGAAGAGTCCTATGACCGCATCGCCATTTCAGCTCATTGACGCCCTAAGAGCCTCTCTCGAACGTGTGCCAATCCTGTGACTTGGAGTGGCCACCCAATATCATCAGCCATTGCGTAAGGTTATTTGTGATATTAACTTAATGGTGAAAGGTCGATGAAGGTTAAGTGGCTCGTAATGACCCATTGCCACGAGTCAAGTGCCATCGTGTCCAAATGTTCACCGGACATTCAGGGCGCGCGTTCGCCTTACACAACATCTCCCGTTCCAGGGCAATATCAGAGCAGCCAGCTTATTCCACTAGTAGCGAAAGCCACCAACCACCACCACGAAGTCCACCGCCAACCCGGGCGGAGTCCTTGTCCCTATTGCGACCGTGTATTCAAATCACGCATTGGCCTCGCCGTCAACCTGCGAATCCATCGTATTGTGGCTGAGGAATTTGTATTTGGAGTCCGACATAAACCAACCAAGAACGCCTTGCCTGTGCAAACTGTCAAAGGGAATTCATACGCCAGACATCCTATTCTCTTACCTGCGTATTCATAAAATCTACAGCAGGAGAGCACAATCAAAGTCCTGGTTTTTGAGGTTGCGAACTAACTGGGAAACCCCATACTAGTCAAGATTGAGGGTCAAACTGCGGTGGCTCCTTGGTGTGGTTCCTTTCAGGAGCCCGTATGACGGGGCAGAGAGACTGTTCAGATTTGTTAGTCACTGTTCACGTCGTCATGCAACTGGGAAATGGTGGGCGACATAAGACGCCAGTGGGGTAGATGCGAAGCAAGCCAGATCTGTTAGTAGAGAAGTCGAGCAAGTTTCATTACTCGGCATGTTACGGGACGCAGCGGCGGGCTTCGTCGCTCGCAATGGTGCAGCTCTCATAGCAACTCGACGACAGAAGCAAACGAGTCGTTGCATGCAGAATTTGCAAAGTCAAAAATTGCATGAGGTCTTCCTGAACCACATGCAACTCTAAAAAGCAGTCCAGGGCAGTGATTTACAATGTGATGCCTGCGCAATTTGTCCCCTAAAATGGGAGGTGCGTTAGACCAGCACAAGGGTCAGAGTAACGCACGGCGCGCGTTCGGGCTGCACACCGGCAAAAAATTCCGCACGTGGGCATGGCGGCACGCCTAGGTGCGGGCCCGCGCCCCGTCAACCACTCGCACCCAATCCCCGCATCAGACAGCCGACCGGCTCGGGCAGTGGATTGCTGCGTTTGCGGAGAGTGCGATCAGTCCTGAAGTCTCCGTCCCCACAGCCCTTTGCGCATATTCCTCACTATAAACAGCCGGATGCGCTTTTAAACTATCACGGTGCGTTAAAGGACGTAGTTGGAAAGGCATCCAACCTACGGGATAACTCGGCCCTGCTCTCAGGGTGGAGAGTCAGGCTGTAATGGCTCCTTCTTACTGTAGCCCCTAGAGCACACCCACTGTGGGGATCCAGGCCAAATCTCCTTGTTTGTGTGAAAAGCCGTCTACGAATGCCACACACGCCTGGTCCGCGCATGATGGACCAGGTTTTCACACAAACAAGAAGAGGTAGCCTGGGTCCCAATGGAGTGGGTGTGCTCTAGGAGCCACAGTAAGGAGGAGCCATTACAGCCTGACTCTCCATCCTGAGAGCAGGGCCGAATTATCCCGTAGGTTGGAAGCCTTTCAAACTACGTCCACTAACGCACCGTGATAGATTAAAAGCGCATCCGATTGGTTATAGTAGGGAGTATGCGCAAAGGGCTGTGGGGACGGAGACTTCAGAACTGATCCTCACATCCAGAAAACAGAAACATTTTTTGACATTCCAGTTAGACACCCCACTCCCTTTAATATTTACAGAAAGTATGGTTTTGGAATCTCGCATTACTCATTTGTCCATTGTATATGTAGGTCAAAAGCTGGAGGCTAGAGTGTATCTTTGAAAAATTATCAGCCTATCGCGGTGAGGTGGAAGAGTTGAAACGTCGAACCTTTCCGCGGTCATCCAACAAGTTATGTACGGTCCTCTGGCGCAAATATATCGGTCATAATATAATGGTGGACAGAGATCTTGTATGGGCTTTAAGAGCATGGAGTATAAGGCCTCGACGTAAGACTTTCAGCTGCGCATCCCACGTGCGTGCAGAGATCAGCTGTGTGAATTTACCCTCCATTTCAAACAAATCGATACGGCGGACGCTCTTACCAGATTTAATACAAATAAGGGAACCGTGTGAGGGATGACTATATCTGCGTCATCGGTTGATTGCGAATAAGGAAACCAAAGTTCCCACCGACGTGAGCAGACCAGATAAGTTTTGTATGAGTAAATCAGAAAAGTGACGACGCACGCATCCACAGCAGAAGAGAAATGTGGTCCGACGTGTCATCCAAGCGCAATGCTAATAAACCGAAGATAAGAGAATTATACGTGTATATTCAAAAAATGAAGGAGTATACATGTGTGCATATAGTTCCGGTGTTGTAGCCCAATCCTACCGCTAGGACGCCTTCGCACTGTGGCCATGATGTCGAGCGAAGAATTGCTTACGAGTTCGCTTGCGACGAGCCTCAAGCTGGGCTTCCTCAGCGGCGCGCTTGGCCCTAAAGCTGCTGACCCTCGACGCCATCTTGTCATGCTTTCGCTCCAGAAAGACAGAATGCAAGGCACGCAGGCGCTGCAGCAATTCAGCGCGTTTTCTCGCCTGACCCACTGGGTCAGGCACCTCGACGGCGCCATTCACAGCCTCCAGATCCACTGGCTTGGGTACCCCTGCAAGACGGGCTTTGCGCACTTGGTCATGGCTGAATCGGATGGTTCGCAGTTGCCGTTTCGTAGGTTTGGGTTGGTCCGCGAAGGGCAAGGCCGCTACCAGCTTAGTGGGCACAGTGAGTGGGTCAGCCACGAAGGGCTGTCGAATGATGGGCTGTGTAAAGGAGATCATAGAGAAGCAGGTGAAGCGTCTCAACGGTTGAAATAACACACATTGTTGACGCATACTTAAATTCACTAGAATTGAGGAATTCTAGGAATGCTAAGTTGCATAAAAACTAAGCAAATACAAAGCCAGTAACACTGACAGGTAAAGGTTCAGCGCTGACTCACTGCGTATCAAGAGACCACCGTGATAGAGATGGCAAGTTAAACTTTTCGGGCAAGTAGGGGATTGCCTCGGGTCAAAAATGAGATACTTAAGATAGTAAACGTCAACAAATTAGCGCTGCACTTAGCATGCGGGTGAAACACACCTACCACCAGAGCAACTGCGGGAACTACTACAGATATGTACAAAGAATGTACAGTTCTTGTTCAACGGGCGACTGTATCGACAGACCAGCGGTGTAGCTATGGGCAGTCCATTGGGGCCAGTTCTAGGGGACATTTTCATGCCTAGCCCGGAACTTGCAACGAGCCTCATTCTATAGGCGATATGCGGAGGAAATCTTCGCCATAGTCAAAAACTCGGGCGACGGAGAACTACTACTCAAGGCTCTGAACAAAGCACACGTAAAGATCAAATTTACGATCGAGCATGAGACGAATGACACACCGCCTTTCCTGGATATTCTTGTACGTAGGCAGGCAGATGGCTCTATTCAGAGATCCATCTATCGAAAACCCACCTGGAAAGGACAATATATGCACTTCTTCAGGTTCGTTCCGATTAAGAGAAAACGGAACTTAGTTCTATGCCTGTTCAACAGAGCCACCAGAATCTGCTCCTCAGGAACGTTTTTCTTGCAAACGGGTATCCGGAAAAATTCATCGATAAATATCGCCATCCCAGACAAGAAACTCCTGAAGAAATATCCGTACCTAAAAAGTCAGTGACCATCTACCTCCCCTTCAAGGGTGATAACGTGGCAAACGACGTGATCAAGCGACGACTACGGTGCACGATCGAAAGGACGTATACCGCCTCTAAATTGTTGTTCATAAGCACCAAAACGGCCATCCCAGTTAGACCAGCTAAAGAACTTGTGCCTATGCACGCCACATCAAACTGTATTTATGAGTTTACATGTAGTTGCGGATGCAAGTACATTGGGCGGTTGGCAGCTCGGTCAGCTGAACACATGCCGAAGTGGCTGCTTAAGGCGGAAAATAAGGTACGCAGGAGCTCAATCAAAAAGCACCTTGTGGACACGGGCCATACGGTGGACCCAATGGTTGCATTCAAGGTCCTGTTTCGGACGCCGACCAGGCGTCTCTTGAGCTTTGCAGAAGCCGCTGCAATACGGAGGAAACCAGAACTCTGTAAGCAGCTGGACCACGTGATAAACCTAGCACTACCATGGTAGAGATCGATTATGGACGAAACCCTGTTCCCGTATACGCGCTCTCATTTCGCTTCGCCCCCCCCGCCCTCCTCGGCATGACTGAACGCTGCCCGCGCGGTGCACTCTAAATCACGCCGCACAAGTTCTCACTGTAGTCCTAACTCGCATACTTGGATGACCTCTTTCCCCCTCCCCCCCTCGTCATATGCACCCGCATTCTAGACCCATGTTTCAGGTTACCTATCAAGTTTTATCTTTCTAAGTCCGTACGCAGCTGAATGAGAGGTTTCGAAATTTATGACGTCAGTAAATACTGCATGCTTTGTCGCCTTTGCCCTATTCAAATTAATTCTGGGAAAACATTGCTTCAATATTGAAGATAGTAAATGGCAACAAATTAACGCTGCATTGAGCTCAGTATACAAAGATTCCTCGGTGGGCGTCAGACCGCAGCTCATATTTACTGACAAATAGACCCCACATCTCAATAGTCGATCATAAAACAAGCTGAATGCCCATGAAGGCGTTTGGCGACGGAAAGTTGGGCCGCACTTTCATCAGCAAAGTTCACTAACAGGTCGACGCTTCCTCTATCCAACATAGGTTGTTGCCCGCAAACCTGATTTTTGAAATCTTACGCCTAATTTAACAAACGGTGCAGCATAGAGAGGGTGAGAGAGAGAAGGTTATCGTACGACTACTGTAGGAAAAAGCCCAATCTGTTCCCGGATTTAAGTTTCACGACATGTCAGAAATCTACCAGAGATGGTGGAACTGATCGTTGATGCGTCCATGTATGACAAGATACAGTAGATGTTCCAACTCATGAAATGTCAACCAAAATTTCGAAATGCGTTCTCGTTTCGAAAAGATAAATTAAGTAGTGTTGTAAAACTAATCATGATGCGGCATAAATCTATAATGATCCAGTTACCTCAGGATGTCGGCTTTCGAAAGAACTTCTTTTCGACTGCATGCAAGACTTATACTCTGCAAAAATGACTACTTAAGTAGTATGCAATTTTCTCATTGATTTTCGATGCCCTTGAAAATTCAATTATATTTCATGGAAAACATGCATAAAAATATTCATTCTTTTACTTATTCGGTAGAAAATCACGTCTTCTTCCAATTTCATACTCAAAAGAAGAGTACAATTCGGTTTTAAAAAACTTTTCTAATTCCCGAATAATTTTGAACCCGACCTGCTGTTACACTTGCATACAGGGTTTCAAAAATAAAGCTGTATATTTTCCGTGTACGGAAAACCATGCATTTCTCTACGGTGTTAAGAGGTTCATAAAAATAAGCAGTGGATTTGAGCAATATTGTTAACTTTACAAGCCACATTCGTAAATGCAGATACATGGTGTTTCATGAACAGCCATTTAACAGTATTAAAAAATCTCACAATTAGAAACTTTTTAGAACCGAATTATACTCTTCTTTTGAGTATGAAATTGGAAGAAGACGTGATTTTCTACCGAATAAGTAGAAGAATGAATATTTTTATGCATGTTTTCCATGAAATATAATTGAATTTTCAAGGGCATCGAAAATCAATGAGAAAATTGCATACTACTTAAGTAGTCATTTTTGCAGAGTATAAGTCTTGCATGCAGCCGAAAAGAAGTTCTTTCGAAAGCAGACACCCTGAGGTAACTGGATCATTATAGATTTATGCTGCATCATGATTAGTTTTTCAGCACTAATAAATTTATCTTTTCGAAACGAGAACGCATTTGGAAATTTTGGTTGACATTTCACGAGTTAGCACATCTACTGTATGTGATGGTAGTCATGGCGAGTTGGCTGGAACAGCTCCGCAGCAAGTAGTACAGAGCGCGAAATATCATGAATAGTCAGATTATCAAATTGCTGAACTACGGAAAAATGTTCCCGTACTTAAGGTATCTACAAAGAAGCAAAACGGCGGCAACAGAAGAGAGAATCCACATGACACGGTCTAAAATGCGCATATTCTTCAGTAAAGCAGGGGAGACGACAGAACCGTGAGGGATAAGACGGAAAACCCAGACATCTATATGTTATCTGATCACGGGTTGAGGAGCATGTGCGAACGTAGTTAAGTTAACAAGTGTATGAACTTCATTAAGGAGAGATTTGACATGATGGGAGAATGGGAGATGAAGAGACAGGATAACATCCAGGCACCGGATAGGAAAGACCTCGTCAGGATGGAATGGCAAGGAATTGAGGAATGAGTGGTGGCCGCAGTGGAAAAAGACTGAACTGACTTGTGACTATGAAGCAGAAGACCGCTTTCCGACGACAACGCTGAGACGCTACCACGGTCTTCCTTAGGAAGTTAAAGATTAATCATTTGCTGACAGGATAGTCAACAAATATATCATCTTATATCATCCTCGGGAAGCGATAAGAATTGAGAGGATAATATGGAATCTTAAAGCACTCGACAGGTATTTGAAAAAGACAGATTTTCGATTGTCAACTGGACAGACTGAGTATCGGAAGAAAGAATACCACCAACCCAAAACATAATCCGGTCAGGAGAGCCGCACTCAGATGTTTTCAAGAGAAGATAACGTGGAATGGCGTTGAAGGCAGGCGGGTAAACAAGAAATACACATGCATACACATAACAACCCCTCACTCGAACACCTAATAACGAGACGACCCAGAGAACAACAGTGTCTAAGGGAGCGAGGAAGTGGAGGAGAATGGTGTGATAGCATATAGGACTCATTCAATGAGCTTAAGAAATAGAAATAATCAAGCACAGCGAGCAAACATCAATCTGGAACAGCGATTATTTCTAGGGATTGGGTTCGCTTCTGACAAGAGGTCAAGCGTCGGGCGCCTCAGTTTTTCAATCTCAGAAACAAATACATTAATTGAGAGTACATCTTTCAAAGTTAAGCTTTTTAACTTTTGTTTAAAAGTGCGTTGCTCCGGAACACATGTCTGGGCCTTGAGCTGCCAGTAGAGTTAATTGTGCAATAACAGGTATTCTTGATTTCATGAAAGATAATAAGGTGAGCTAACAGGGGTGCAGTCTGAGCAGAACAGGACCTGAGACGTGGTGAGACAGCGTCCGGCAAAGCAAATTTTGAATAAAAGACACAGAAGAGAAGACACTCGGTGGTGGTGAAAAGTCGATGAATGGAAACTGAACCCATTGGTATCAAAGAACTAATTTTGAATTGACGAATCTTAATTGTCATCAGCGTGTGGCGGCGTAATTTTCCGGCGGAAGCACAAGAAATAAAAAATATGGAAGACGAAAATAGCCGATAAACAAACACGCCGTTCAGTCTGGGAAGTTCAATTTTTATTGGGATGTCAACTCCCTTCGAGCTACCACAAATGCCGAATATTCAGAGGCGTTCTTCTTAACGTCATACAAGCTCAAGAAGGAGGACAACAGGCGCCAAAAATTGAACTTAGAAATGTTGAGATAGAATCTGAGGATATTTGAAAGTTTAAGAAGAGTAGAGGCAACGCTAGCTATAGAATCCTGAAGTCGACGGGGAAAGTGTCGCGGGATTTAACTTTCTGCTCAGGTTTAGCTAGCATATCCTGTTAAGAATTGGATCAGGCTTTTGTAAAACCCAGTAGGACAGAATGATCGGAACAGATAGTGGAACTCTATCTTGGATGTGAAAAACTTAAGTAATTAAGTACAATATGATCACGAGAAGCGCCGGAATGAATGTTGGCGGAAACAAGTAAAATTCCCACATTTTCAACGGATACCGTAATAGGAGTTCGTGACAGGAAGTCGAAGAAGTGGGCTAAGACGTATTCGTAGGCTGAGGGAAAAATACCAACACTAACAAATATGATGATTTGCAACTATTCAGCTGACAGGATTTGCATGACAGAAGTTGTATGCACCGAATCAGCAGAGTTTGCAGCCCCCGGACCAATTATAATGGACGAAAATAAATAATTATTTAGGCATGACTACAAAAGACAGCGTAAACCAGTTTTACTGAAATTCTTCGATGTCCAGAGGACCGCGTCATGAGCGCTGTCGAAAGGACAACTTTTCAGGCATACGCGCCGCCATGAATTTCGCGATGCAAAGGATGAAAACACGTTTAGCTGGCAAACAACTAGAGTATGTATACAAGCAACGGCAAGCCGTACAGTCTGTTTTCAGCGGAAATAAACAGAAAAGCTAACTAACCTATGCGATCCCTTTTAAGCACTTCAAAACGGAGGCAGACATTGCATGCATAATTTCGCTCATACGCGGTCTGGCCAAAAAAACTACGTTGCGATCTGAAAAGTGTATGCTCTGCATGGATCTTCTGTTCTCAAGCACCAATACGCCTTCCTCCAGCAGGAAGATTCCCTTGGGGTTTTGCGCTACACTAATTAGACTGGTACTTTTCTGGGATGACCACTGAAGAACCCAAAGTTCTGATTAGTCGACAAAGGACCCGACTGGTCAAACTTGAATATTTAAATCAGTCGCAAAGAGATCCACCAAAAGACTTCGTTCTCCGGTGTAATTAATTTCCTTCTGTGACTAGAAAGGAAACATTCCGTCAGGAGAGGAGCCAGCAGGCCTACCTTGTACTGCGAATCTTCGCGAACCTCTGGTTTTGCTCCGGCTGCCTGGCGCAATTCGCCATGGGTCCGCAGCATACGCCACTGCTTCTCTCCATTGTTTGTGGCAGTGCCAGCCTGAGGCATGAGTAAGTTGAGGACGGGATTGTAGAAGGAGGGAATCTCGATGGGCACAAAACTGCGGAGAAAGACAATATCTGCCATGCGAATGGGAGCTTCAAAGGTGGCGCGGAAGTCCCCAGGCATAAAACTGGAGCTGTTTGTAAGAGCACTCTTCACAAGGCCTGGATAAAAGTGAAATTCGTAAGACATCATGTTAGATCTCGGTTGCTTTGCAATTTCACGACGCGAAAACTTATTTGTAAATGCATTAGCAGACACGACCAATGAGGTCGCTGCATAAATGCCAGAAGTTTTCATACTGTTACAACAAACTAGGCTTTTCAACGAAGAGCAAAGCTTCGCCGCCCGTGGTAAACAAAGAGTTGGAAACTACGAGCGCGATTTATAACGCAGTATCAGCCTGGCAGTAGTAAAAGAAACGTTTACTAAGTAGGGAGCAAGGTGCACTCAAGGATGGTCGGTCAGTGCGCCTCAGATAAGAATGTGGTCAAATATCTTGCCTCATACCTGAAGCATAGAGATTCCTAGCAGATTTAACTTGAGCATTGACTTAAATAGGAATATCGTACGCACATGGCATGTAGATGCTCTGAACACCAGGTTGAAACGCCCTGAAAAACCAAGACTGTGGATGTTATGGAGACAACGTCCATAGGCCTGCGCGTATTACTTGATAAAAACGTCACCAAAAGAGGAGGACGTTTCAAGGCCTTACTCATCTCTCAGGATAAGACCAGTCCTAATCCAATCAAAAGCATATGATTTATGACGAGGCACGCGTTGGACAAGATATTAATTTTCGACGGGCTGAAGTCCTCCGTGCCCAGTAATCCTTCTGGGCACATCAACGATGACTTTAGACGGAGGCAGTCATGAAATTCTGAGCTAAAATGATGCATGACATTTGACAGTAGTAATAAACAGAACCTATTTCACCCAAAGATTGAGAAAAAGGGATGCCCAAGTTTCGAAATTCTGAACCAAATGTTAAGATAATTCGATTTTTATAAGAACGTGAGAAGAAGCAGATTCCTTACCAATGTCTTCCTAGAGGAAAAGGTGAACTTGTCTTGGTTTCAAAATTTCAAAGAAAAATGTATGCAGAATAGCACGCGCCCATTCATTTATCAGAAGCGCTTTGCAGACTGATTTCAAATCGCGGGCCCTGTACATTTTGAGGAGTGCTACTTAAGGGCAGCGGTCAACGGCCAAGACCGCTGACGGGCCGGAAAAAGCGCATTTGCGTACAACGAGTCCCCCATGCCACTATCCGAGGGGAGCTGTGGACCGTTCGTGCTTGCACTGCAAAAGCTAATGGGCGCAATGTGGTTTGTTCGATCGGATAAAGAGCTTTGGTCAGGTAGCTAAAGGCTGGGCTGTGCATTTGTGGCATGCGATCGTTCCATGAGCCCTTCCTTTATCTGCAAGAGACTGTGATGTACGTGTTTTTGGTCAATTAGTGTCAGTGGACCGCGACACCACAGAGGCACTTAGTAGTCGTGGGGCATAGGTATAATCAGATTGTACGTAACCTAGTCAAAGTTTCAGTGTTGAGAAAAAACTGTTGTTCCAGTAAGGAAAATTATTAAAAGGAACACAATCAAGGGGATCAACTGTAGTTTTGTGTGAAATTCCGAGTAGTCATCGTGATTTTAATTATAGCTGCTTATTATGCGGGAGCTGCAAAAAATCGGGCAGTACACTGAGAATTTTTAAGCAGAGCCGTGGGTTGAATTCTTCAATTGTTTGGTTCGCGCACCTACGTGGGTGCGAGGTGTTTTCTGATCAAAAACATGTGGAGAACATGCTTTTGATTTCCCTTCGTCAGATTCACAAAAATTCAACGCACGGAGACTCACGGGCTTCGGAAATTTGTAACTACAGATTGAGCAAAAAACTGGCGTGACCTTTCTTTCAATATCTCGTAAGCATGGCGGGAAGAAGTGAAGAGTGGTGTGCTGTGTCAGATCGAAAATGGGTAGAAAATTCTAGGTCACATCGCGATTCCAGTGCACAGTAACAGCGGCTGTTCCACTGCTTGAATGATAATTGAAAGTAGAAGCAGCATATCATAAGGAAAATCTGGCGGACAGAGTTCGAAACGAGGCAAATGTGACTGTGGTAAACACATTATATTCATATGAGTTAAAGGTCTGAAAGCGTCTGCTATGCCTTGGTCAGCAAACCATGGCCCTAGCAGAATGGTATATGCTGGTATTTCCGACCCCCGGTTCCCTGTCGATAGATGCGCTTGCGTTCCCACTGAGTATACAGGTCGTGAACATGGCCGCCCAGTCATCCTCGCCTTTCTGACCCATTGATGCGCTCTTGTTCTTGGTTAAAATCCTGGTCATTTGTTGTGTAGATCATGGGTGTAGAGTGGAGCGCCAAGGTGCGGCCTCGGCCGTGCCATCCACCGGCGATCTCCCATCCTCCGGTCTTCTTGACTCTGTCTCGATACCGGGTCCGGGTGGGGAGGAGAGTGCGGTAGATGCTACGCAAGTCTGCTCTCCCTACAAACCAACTTAAGCCAAAGTCACCGTGCCTGCTTCACCTTGTTGTGGAGTACACGGTGGACATCGTCGGGCACTACGGTTGGACTGTCGTATCCATCTGAATGATGCTCTCCCGTACAGTACAGGCGTCGCTGGGTGAAACTGCTGCTCAAACGAAACAAGCATGCATTCGACGCTTACAAAACTCCCCATTAAAAGAGAAGCAAGCGTAGTTGACGAGAAATAACAAAGGGAGGGGTTAATTGTGGTCAGAAGACCATCCATTTATTCCATATTAATTCTGCCATACCTCGAATTTTTGAGACGGTCTGCACCTTAGAACCGACCATTTTGCTGACTTCAAGTTCGCTGTTGAACATGCCACGAATAAATGCGGTTTTCGAGAAAATTTTGAATGGATGACCGACTAATTTGAGCTTCTTCATAATTTGGAAGGACTCGTTGCAGTCGGTGACGGTTCCCGTGCCGGCTATTCTGAAAGATGGGGTACCCGGTTTGCTATCGATCTGTATGGAACACAAAAAGCGTTGAAACTAATTGAACAAAAATTGCAATGGGGTATATGGAAACGCGAAAAACGATCGGAAAATCGGGTAAGGTGGCAACAGCAAAAGGATAGAAGAATGACGCATGCAACAAGGTTCACAATACTGAGGAGGTGGGGAGGTTAACCGACAAACACTGGGATGCTAGTGACTACCTCCGGCTCATTGACTGCCAGCAGTACTACCCTCCCCTTAGGTGAGGAAAAACTGGAAAAGAAAATCAGCCCAATAGGCTTGAACCTCAAAATTATGTTACTGAGTCATCAGCGTCTGTTTTGCTGGTGGCAAGGGAGAATATTGGATATAAGGCGGGCTAATGAACCACCTTAATTAACGGGATAGCAAAACACAGACAGGCAAAGCTATGGAAGACGCGTGCAAGAGAACCTTCAGCAGGAACAGTCTAAAGCAAGTATTACGACGGTGGGCTCAAATACAAGGCGAATTGTGCAGGATTAGCGAACTCGATACTTTTGTCTCCGCAACAACTTCGACAAACAATGCGAGAAATAGTGACCGTTTACGTCTAGGTGGTTGTACCACGGAAGAACCTTATGGAGAGAGGCCCAAGAAGCCAACGACATCTTATCACCGAACTTCCGGAGAGAAAAAAAAACAGGGCAAAATAAGGAAGGGGCAATCTGCAAACATGAGAGGAGGTCTAAATCCTCTAGCAAACTTTTTCTGAGTCGGTTACAATGCTCAGGTAAAGACAGGGTAACAATAAGGACGGAACAAACTCCACCAATTTTTCTTTGCAGTAGTAAGACGGCGGTAGAACGATTTGAAAAAAATGGACACCACACGAAAGGCGAAAACGCAGTTAATGAGACATCAACTGGACTGAATGCGCAGACATACCCACAGGAGGTCCGAAGAGGACGTAGGCGATGGTTTTATGTCGGAAGGTTAGAGGAAGTAATCAAAGAAACAGAGGCGGCTAAATAGTGCTGTAAGCACGGGTACAGGAATTACGTGCAACACCCTTTTTAGGTTTCGGCGCGAAATAATTCTTATGTTCAACAAACCAATTCCATTAGAATCAAAATAAACGCCATTAGCCTGAATATCACCCTCCAAATGGGAGCGGATGCAGATTCGAAACTAGTAAATTGTCCAAATAGAGCAGTCATAACCGCTGCCGCTCGGAATGTTTTATTGTGCAAACAAAACCAAGTGAAGAAACCGACGGTAATACAATTGTGAAAACGCAAAAGCCGCAAAATTTCCGGTTTAAGTACACTGATTTCTCCGTGGTCGGCCGTGCGTAAGAGGTTGAATGATGTAGCACAGAAGGACCGACCAGTCTCTGCTCACTAATACTGGTTGTTTGACAGCCATTTCGAATGCATTATTCTAATTTGCTGGCGACATGACTGAGTCACAGTCGTTTTACTCAGTTGCAGAAAATGTTGGCACATGAACGTTACTTGCTGGGAGCTGTCGAGTCAGTAAGATCTTATTTTCGTTCAGTGATAGCTATAGTTTTTAATCGGTATCCAACTCCTGGAGAGACCGTTCTCGGCTATCGTATAACACCTATTTTTCGTCGTATGCGATGATTCGCCGCAAAAAGTGCCGTCTTATAGGCCCAACAATCAGCCATGAAGACAACTGCCGGTACCGAAGCTTCTGACTGTCCGCCAACCCATGCAGCCCCTATATTGCCAATCTTTCATCTTTCTTATTGGAAATATCAACAAAAACTCGGCAGTGGAAGAAAAATTTAGAAGCACGACACCCCCCCCCTAACCGTATTAAGAGTTCAAGGTTTCGACCTTGTGTGCTGAATTACCTTAACCAAGCAAAGCGTGCTACAAGCAGTGGAGATTTAAATTTCTGATAGACACTCGTAAACAATTAGTATCAACATTTGGTGATGTGGTGCACTAGAGACCGACGGATAAGCTAGATTCGGCCTTTTTGTGGACGCTGACATCAAACGTCTATTGATTTCACGGCAACTAACAGCTCGGCAGTCACAAACGACTATGACAATCAATGACAAGGGGAGCAGTGGTGACCTGAATGTGAGTTCACAGCATCAACCTCACTCACAAAAAAAGGTCAAGGGGGCTGGAGACGGGTTTGGACACGCCAGCAGGTGACCTGGCATAATCCGCCATTGTTCATATAGGTCACACATGTGCTGACTCCCCATTACACAAAAAGTGGCCTACAGTACGCATACTTCTGAAAACTGCCTTATAGTTGATATTTCGCCAAAGTAATTTACACCACTCACTTCTGTCACTGGACAATATCTGCAAAAACCGCCGTGGTCTCACACAAACGACTGTCAACGAACCTGGTCTCGCCATGCAGAATTCACAAACGCAACCAAGCCCGTCTTTGCTGGCACCACGGGTCCGCGGAATGTGATGTGACAGTGCTCATGCTCCAATGAGTACTTGAGGAAACGATTCCGAAGGTTATGCTCCTCCCTGGACATGAGACAAAAAAGTGTCGAGGTAGAGGGACAGTAATAATAAAGATTGCTTTATTGAGCACTTTGGTGGGCACTGTCAAAACATGAGGACTGGAGATAGTATAGGAAACTATACACGACACAATGACATCGCTAAGGGAATCCTGCAAAATAGACGAAATCAACTCCTACGAAAAAGCAAATTTTATGCGTGAAGGGCTGAAAGTCACAGAACGGAAATAATGCTGATAGTGTGCCAAATGGGTAGCTAGTGAACTGTTGCAGCCGGACGCCCTACCCGAAGGTATCCATGATCAAAGATGCAGGGAACCACACCACTAGTTGATTAATCGTCTATGTGCAAAGAGTGATATTCTAAACTATCCTAAAAATGTCATAGCACAGCCATTTCTTTTCTGCCATTTTGCACAGGTTCTGGCAGGTTGCAGACAAACGGGTTACTCGGGCGTTTTGAAAAATGAGAAATAAACGCAAAAATGAATGTGGTCAAGCGGAATTATTTTACCAAATATTTGGAAAAATGTCTCTTGGACGCTATGAGAGTCAGCTGTTTGGCATTATCACTCTGGCCTACGTTCAATAATGTGGTCCAGTTGTGACTAAAAGTGACGTGGACTTCGAAATACTTAACTTCCTTATTAATTTGTTTTCAGTCCCAACTCAAGTTCATCTAACACCGTGACTCTAAGCGTGATTGATCACTCTGCGTGGGCTTTTCGGCATTAAGCACTCTTTTTAGGTTGCTGGAAGACGTGACCAGCTGGATTTTCTCTCAAGGGCAATCATTCAAAAACAAGTGCATTTTATCATAACAACTCTTGCCATTTTTGCTTGTCGGCATTGGTTAACTTACGTCCATTCGGCGAAGCCCATTGCTGCGTGCGCACAAAACATGCCTGCATAAACGCTGGCTGAGGTCACACTGAGGCAGGCCAGCAGAAGTGTGTGGGTGACTTTCCCAGCACGCCTCGCAAGAAGCTCTTTTAGCGGTCAATTAAACGTGCCTAACAAAACAAGGAGCTCTGCAAGCAAAAAACGGCTGTCTAGATAGCACGACAGCTATCCTAAGGTCTGACAGACGGGACTCTGACCGAAAGACGAATAAGAGTTTTAGAGAAAGCGGTGGAGGTTTGTTTTATGTATACTTACGGAGCCTGGCTTACGAAAGAGACCTCACATTCCCTCTTCGGGCTTTGATGCAGGCCCCAAATACAGACTCAACAAGTCCTGTTACCCCTTTAAGGGTGGTGTAGCCGATTACAAAGATTATATTCGTGCAATCGTTTCCATTACTGACAGCCACCAACTTAACACGGGGGGCCATATCTCTCACGGTTAGCTAAACCAATGCCCATAGACCAGTAGTGCACGTAAGAAATAGAGGCAAAATGTCCACACGAGAACGTAGTGAGTTAGGGACGATTACAAATAATACAAGCGATGTAAGAACACACGGACAGACGCCAATTTCCATGTAAATAACCGATCTGCTATTGTATAAAGTCAAATGGTTTGCTTTAGTGCATGGTTGAGCAGTGCGTTGAGTTTTCACTTTCAAAAATGTGAGACCTCTTGGAGGGCGGAGGCAGCTGCGACGGCCCGGACGGCAGAGATTGAGAGAGAGAAAGCACACGATGGTTTAAACGTCTCGCAGTAAACGTGCTCTGTGTAGATGGATTGACCGGTTCACATGGCCGGCTTTAAAAAATATTTGAATTAGTAAGGACCACTAATCAAAACAATTTGACGCTGCGCAATTCAAGCGGAAACATCTTCGGCGTAATGGCTTGCTCAACGAGTTTTGATGTATTCCCAATGTTCACGAGGAAGTGGGCATACTTTGTATCTCAAAACTATACTTTCGGTAGAGTCGATGACCAAAACGTCACTTTTACTCTATAAGACTATTCGATTAGTTCAGTTCGGTCTATTCAAGGGAAATTTAGGTGTGCATCTTAGAACTCCCTATTGGCGTACATAAGTTATTGTGATACGAGTCAACAATCCGTGAATGCCAAACTTAGGTTCCACACAGACACATCAGAGCGAGCAAATGGATGCGGCTAAGCACGGAATCCTATGGAAGATCGGCCAGAGCAAAACATGATAGTCAGGGACGTTTTGGGTGGCTGCGTGTAAATACAGAGAACGTCACGCGTACTTCAACATTAATTACTTACTTTGAGAAGACTGCCACAGTTTGGTAACGACGCCAACCAAGGGAGACGGTGATAGGATCATTCGACTTGAGAACACGCTTCAGCCACCGATGGTTTTGGAAGCGAGCGTGAATGAAACTCATTGCCTCCTCACCCTTCGCCACGCTACCAATGACCAGGGGCTGACGGACATCGAAATTTTCAGCAAATTGGCAGGGCACACCTGAAAGGTGAAAAACCAGGAAAAAAACGCTTTCGAGAATTCACTCGAAATAGTTCTCCGTCTCGGTTCAGCAGATGCGGTTGTGAAAATGAAACGGGTAGTGGCGGTGGTGGTCACCGCCGCCAAAGCCAAACACGAGGCATGCTAATCTCAGATGCGCTCACCCCGCAACGCCAACGCTCAACTACCCGCGACCTGCTCAGGCTGCCAGCGGACTTTTCGGGTACTAATCGGCCTTCTAGGACGTCTTCGTACAAACTGCAGCACTTGAACTACACCAGCTGCTGTCTCCCCATATACTTCTGCCTCAAGCCCCAAGCCCACAACTAACGCTAACCGCACTCGCGAACCCCCACTACCATCCTTCACCAACACCTCTTCTTCCTCCTCCTTTTCCACTGTTTCAACATCCTCTACGGAGGCCCCTGTATCCACCATCACTGCACACAAACCTTACACACCAACAAACATCAACCTTCGTACTGTCAAAGTCAGCGATGTGGACTCGATCCATACCTGTCCTCACTGCAACCGCACCTTCACCTCACACATCCGCCTGGTCGGTCACTTTCAAATCCATCGCACAGACTGGCAAACCGGTGCCTGGAGTACCAACCTACACTCGCCGTATTCGCCTCAACTGTCCACACTGCCCCGCACATTCACTCACCGCATAGGTCTATTCGGTCACATGCGTATCCACGAGAGAGGAATTGACCGCAGTCTCGATACACCTAGCACCTCTCGCACGTCCGCCACGCCTAGCTCAACCCACACCAGTCGCCCACCACTATCAGCATATACTGCGCACCCACCATGCTTAACCCAACGCACATCTCGTTACACAACGTGTCCACCATTAGCAGCACTACAACTGTCACGACCTCTGAAACCGACAGTGACACAGCCGACTTTTCCTACCTACATTGTCCCCCTACATTCACCTCACACATCGTCATGGTCGGTGGCTTGCGAATCCATCACACAGACACTGGCAAACCAGTGCCTGGAACACCCACTCGCCGAACGGGCCTATTCGGTCACATGCGCATTCACGAAAACCCGCGGTAAACAACTGCCAGCTACGCCACACAATTCCATCTTCCCCCACCATCACCTGCATCATCCATCATCATCCACCAAAAACATCCGATTGCCACCTGCGCAAGTGGGAAATGTGCGTCGCGAATCCGTCTCCATGCGGCCCCTCTGCTGCATGTGTGATCCGAGTTCTAAGATTATCACGGCGCCTCAAACGCTGTGGCTTGGAAGGTAGCCATGTTACGCCGCAACTCAGTCCACGCAGTCCGTCCAGTCGTGTGTCTTTGTGTGGAGTGGCGGACTGGTGGGCTGAGGGATAGGCTGAAACAGCTCCTAAAAGCGACCTACGGCACTCTAACGCATGCGAGATGTGCGCCGCTCAACCCTCGTTGTGTGAAATCCTGGTGCTTGTGTTTGGGGGCCAGGTCGTGCATGTGGCAAGCACAGACAAGGTCGCTAGATATGTCAGCCACCGCGACCGTTCCCTGTACCGGCCAACTGACCGGCTGGGACAGTAGCTGGAGACCGGGGATTGGAAGGGAGAGGAAGGTCGCCGACTCAGCGCATTTTCCTCACTACAAACAGACTGACGTGCTTGAAGGTATCACGATGTGCTAAAAGCCGTGGCTTGGAAGGTTGCCAACCGACAGGATAAATTGGACCTCCCAATCGGCCCAGTGCTGTATGTTTGTGTGGATTGGCCAGCTGGTGGTCTAAGAATCAGGCTGCAGTGACTCCTTTTTAATGTGGCCTTTATTGCACTCCCACTCCGTTGGATCCGAGCCAGGTGTGACGGCGCGCCTAGGCGTGGCTTCAGCCGTGCCAGCCTCCATTCTTTTGTCGTTGTTGGTTAAAACCCTGGTCCAATGTGTTGTGGATCAAGGGGTGTGGTGGAACGCCTAGGTGCGTGTTCGACTGTACCATCCACCTGCGCCCTCCCCCGCTTCCGGTCTCCTTGCCACTGTCCTGACACCGGGTCCATGTGGGGGAGGAGTGAGTGTGGTAGATGCTGCGCAAGGCCACATTCACGCGCAAGTCATCGCACCTGCTTCAACTTGTTGTGGAGCACACGGTGGGCATCGTCAGCGACGGTCGAACTCTCAGTTGACAGTTTAGAAATAACTTATTTACTAGGCAGACGATGAGTTTTTGCTAACTATAGGAATTAAGACGGCAACATTTTTAGAGTTGCAGCCAGTGATCACCCTTACCCGGGACTAACTGTAAACTTCCCGCACTCTTCCAGAAGGAACCGTGATTAATCCTTTTGTCGGGGAGATGTGTTCAGAGGAAAATCCGTACCCCTTGTAGAAGTTTAAGAGAGAGCAACGATTCTGGAGAACTCTCATAAATAGCCTCCCATTACCGTTCGCTATAGATGATCACGAAACCAAAGCACTCAGATATACCCAAGACAGATCCAAGTTTTGTATTCAGTTTTCAATGCCAAGATATTGTGGGTTGTTTGAACCACAGAACGGTTAGACGAAGGAGTCTGTCATGGTTATGGTCTGAAAGTAAAGTAGAGGTTCGACCCGGTTCCAATGAAGGTCACAAATTGCAGTAGGACCACCGTCGCCAGACACCCTGTATGATTCTGAAATCTTACTTGTCGGGTCAGGACCTTAGGTTTGCCAAGTTCTGACGATGTCTACCCCCGCTAAGGAGGTAAAAACGGTGCGAAAGGTTAGACTTCTAAAAATACTTGTTCGGCTAAGTGCTTTTAATCGGTCTTCAACTAAACACAACAACAAGCCTATGTGTTATCCTAACTGCTGGATACTCAGAACCTCCACTGTGGTGCATAGCGGGACAGCCCTCAGCGGGGACAATGTGCGAAAGAAGTACGCATTAAGTCTACTACTTGGGACATTTCCGACAGAACGGGATCGAACCTCTGATCATATTTTGCGCCAGCTGCTTTGGCTATTGAACTATATAGGACATGAATCTCAGCTGTGCGAAAACTATATTCCCTTATCTCTGATTCAGGTTAAAAAACAAACTTGCTTTGCTAGTTTGAAAAAGGAGAAAAACAGTTATTTGTACAGCCGGCATGGAATTCGAAGGCGGGCGGTTAGATCACGCCTGATGCCGTCCGTTTTCTGACTTAGCCTAGTTGCCAGAATAAAGAACTGTGTCCAGTTCTTCTGCTGAAATATTTTAACTACTGCACTCATTTTGGACTTGCAAAAACACGCTGGTGTGTGCGAAAGTTGTACTTATGGTGGTAGGATTCCGCCGCTAATCATGAAAGCAGGAAAAAATGAAGAAATCAGATGAAGCTAGGCCCCCGGCAACAATTCAGGTAGAATGAAGAGCACCCGGAACGACAACGTTTCCACTTCGTGCAAAAACACCTTCAGCACAGAACGAGACATCCTCAGAGCCTGGCTTTCCTAATTAGCCCTCTATAAAATTTCCCTGTGCCTAACTGGTGCTTTGCTGCTTGGCTGCAAAGCTGCCACGCATCCAAAGCGCAGACATTTGCCATATTTGTGTAATTATTTACCACACTAAAAACACAGATACTTGCTAAAAGCCGAGACACTTTTGGACCGTGCATGAGAAGGCCTGTTACAAAGAATTTACTATAAGTTCCCGCATTAATTTCCACGGAAATTAAACAAAGCAAGCTGCCACATTGTAAGGACAAGCTGCGATCTGAAACTCAGAACCAGCCCTCGGCCAATGAGTCGAAAAGTCCAGCAACTAGGTGTATGATTTTAGACGGGATCATTTCAATATACATACAGTTACTTTTGGCTGTGTACATGACGAGTAAGGGTCCGACGAGCACCTATTGTTTGCCAGGATTCTCTATAACAAAAAGGGCAACTGCAACGTATGCTTTCGGCTTATGTTCACCGAATCTGCACCGGAATCAAACTTCACGTCGGTTGGGCACGAGAACGTGGACCCTTCGCCCAGTATTACAGGTAACCTTGCCCAGAACTCCAGGAAGGACTAGTGCTAGTGTCAGGGTCACGAGAGTTTGGCTTAGGCTTAGGGTTACGAGGGCTACTGCTTGAGTTAGGATGGTTAGAGCAAAAGTAAGAACGCGGGAAAAGGTACCCCCTTAGAAGTTAGTACCAGGTCCCTGTATTACGGAGGGCTCCGCATTCTCGTGTCCGACACTCACGCCTACCATAGGAGGCGGATGTCAAGCAAGTCAGAAGTGGCCATTCTAGCCTATCCCTTGTCAGTAATGCTTCTCGATCATTATTTGATCGTTGTTGAGCGGACAATTGTTAGGGTCCAAGACCGGACGGCGTCTCCACGCTCATGCCAGATCCTTGAACGCCAAATCTAAATAACCTACAATGACATCTTTAGATTCAGCACGAGGACATTTTTGCAGTAGCATAGTGTATTCGGCGTCTTTCGTCGCTAGTCAAACATATAAAGCGTAATAATCGTTGTCGGTACTTTGCCGCCACAACTGTCGTGGCAACAACCTTCGTTTGTCACAAACAAAGTTATTTATCAATCAGGTCGGGCCGGCATTTAGCTGGCACGATCCTATGTATCACATTAGCACAGTCAAACACCGCTTGCATAGACTGAACATCTAAAAGGCCATGTTGAAGTATGGACCACACGACGGATGAATTCAGAATCACGAAAACTGACAACGCACAGTTAATGCAACGCTGAAGGCAGACTGCAGTCATTAGAGAGGAATGTGACGAGAGGTAAAATTTGGCACGTAAGTTCTCTCTTGTTTGTCAAAACAGGGGGTTCTTGGACGTGGACTAAAGAACCGTAAGTTTAAGAAAATAGAAAGGTGTACACTACTCACGTCCTTTTACCTGAAATTTCGAGTCGCACATAAGCACCCGGCGCAGCACCTTCGATCTCCTCACGTACATTCGGTGGGAGACTACCGAGGACCTCCTTGTTCAAATTTCTCTGACTTTCTAGCTTGTCCATGATTTTATCGTAGAATGCCGTTGGCTTCTCGTCGCCAGTAGCTGTTCCGCGTTGGGCGGCGTCATAGAGTTTGTCAAAGAGTTCCTTGTGTCGCTGACGCTTTTCCAAGAGTTTTTGACGTTTTGTTGGCCGAAGAAGGCTCTAGAAAAACAGATAGAGGAAAGGTGTGCAGAGACATGCTGGCCTCGATATTACAATTGGCTGAGAGTAAACGGATTGATCCATATGAGCGGAAATGACGGACGTCCACTAAACTTAGAGCAGGTTTTATGTCTCCCAAGACTGCAACAGAACGACGAAGATGCACATAAACCAACGCGTTAGGAAAATCGACGTTATTCATGCCTGTCAATTATCCGGTGACAATGTTCATAAATGTCTACCAAGTCATCACTCTGTCACAAATAAATATATGGGCAGTTAGAATTATGCAAGAAATGGGGGATGTTGTGATTGTCCGACATAAAGAGCCTTGTTGGAAGAATGAGAAGCAGCTGGTTTTTGAGAAACCGGAAGAAACAAATCGTAAGTTAAGTAAAACGCGAGGGCTCGACGTGTAGTCTATCAAATATAAGTTTGATTTCAGCAGGTAAATCCACCAGTCATTACAGCCTCTTTTCTCTGACTCAAAATAAATGGATAGGAATCAAGCGACCAGTCAAAAGGTGAAGGCTTACTTGAAACGGGACGACCGTTAAAGATCAACAAAACTTTAAAAAATGCTGTCTTGGACCCAATTAAGCATACCAAGTTGACAAGTGGGAGCTTCTTACGGCGAGACAGAATCCGACGGTTCTAACTACCATGAAATACCCAACCTTGGATGAAAGAAGACCGACTTATTTTACAGCAATTTTAATTATCTTGGCTGACTAACAGGCGACAGCTGTGTTCTCGAAATTTTCCACCAACTGAACATTCTCTATGAGTACGACAGTGGCAACTTGCAGTTCTAACCAGGCTTCGCAGGGTCTGCCTTCGAGAATCCCATTGACCCAAACATAGTTGGATAACCTGCTGCAAGTGGGATGAATACCACCAAGTAGACGGCGAATAAACTCAGAAACGGTAACCAGGAGCAAATTAGGGATTCCGATAAAATATGGACGGGCAGTGCAGAAAAGTTAGGATGTGTGGTGACAGTTCACATTTCGACAAACCTCCGATGCCCTGTTTGTGAGCGATCATCTTAATTGATACTTCTGCACCACTTTACCGGATGAGAATAAATGAAACATACACGGACGGCACAGGTCATTAGCACACAGCTAGAAGCAAGTCTACTAACTTCGATCAAAACAGTGTGCAACAGTATTATCGTATTAAGTCGAAATGTTAGAAGGCGTAAATACCTCTCATACTAGCTACAAACAAAGTGGAGCGCAGTAATCTATCGAAAACGGCAGATATTTCGAATCATTTTTGTCTTTGACAACAATTAGCGTTTTAACATGCGCATTTGTTGGTTGGACACGCAGTCAAAAACTCACAAAAGGGTATGCCATAAGAAATTCCTAAAAGTTACTAATGATGCAAAGCAAGGTAATGAAACTAACTCCAATCCTAATTAACTTTCGCACAGAGAGGGCATTCTGTCAATTTCGGAGGTAAACCATCAAGAAAAAAAGGAAAAATGCTTAAGCACTCCTCCGGAAAACTATGCAAGGTAAAAATGGGTGACGAAAAAGTGATTTTGGCGTTTCTCGACCGCTGAAAGTCCGACTAAAACTTGAATTGTGAGAGCCCTGACTCGCGGTGCTGCACAACGCACGTTGGCTGGTTCAGGATAGAGGAAAGTTTATTACGGAGTGAAGACATTCAATGAGACCGCCATCGATTTGGGCTGGCTTTTACTCGAAAAATTCTCTAATCCACAGTGCTAATCGACCCATATTGGAAGCCTGGCTATTTCCTAACGCCTCTCAGCCAAAGTATTTGTTCTTCCAAAAGCGGACTTTCTTGCTTTCCCCCGCAGTTGCATTTTCCAGTTTGTTCGGTTCAGGTAATGGATAGTCACCGTGGTTAACGGGTTTGTGAAAGGAAAACCGACGAAGACACAAGTATCATGGTGATCGATGGAGTACTAGGTCGGTTGTAGTATGTTGTGATTACGAAACATACGCGCAATTTAGGGTCATGACAGTTTGCACTTTTGCCACGTCCTCGACCAGAAGAGGACAAAGGCCCCACATCTACAACAACTCATATTGGACGCGTATGTTTTGAATTGTCCTACAAGGAATCCCCTAATACCTAGAGAAAGTCTGAACTTACGCTAACTGTGGGCACCCATATGAGGATTGGGACAAAAGACAGGAGTGGTTACCGTGGCAACGAAACGAATATACATGCACAGCGGGCATGCCTACAGCGAAATTGGACGGACAGGGGTGCAGGGTTCAATTGACTGTTACAATTCAAAAAAGCAACAACTGCGAGAACAGGACTCCGCACGCAACGCTTGGAGGCTTTCGACTGAGGTAGACGCCCTAAAATGCGATTGGTCGATGGTAGATAAGGCATTTAAACTCCACCACGCGGCCGTTTCGGGGATGATTGTGCACAAACTAATAAAAAGTGCAGATTGAGAGAAAAATAAAAAGGCAGCAAGCGTTACTGGCAAAGAGGGTAGGTCAGCGTAAAAAAGCAGTACTAAAACTCGTGACGAATTAAACAATGTATCCCACTTTTGGCGACGATACCCATACAAACATTTAAAAAGCCAACTTCGGCAAACGTACGCTTCCGATTATCATCAGGTCTGCACAATCACATAATGGATGGCAGAGTAGCAAAAGTTTAACCAGCCAATAAACAGTAGGAGTGGGGAGAGGGTTGAGGGCATTCAAAGGTCATGGGTTATAGTCTAGTTCGATCGGGGCCTTGGGGAGGGGAAGGGAAAGGTATCTGGCAATCAATCAGCTGTCTGTTTCGTCGCTGTAACGCGGCTTGGCAGTAGGTGTGTACATTCTGGGCTCACCTTTGGCCAGTAGGACCTTATGGCCTGTATAAACGCTTTATGGGAGCCCTCAACCCTATCCCTGATGCGTGTTGGTTGTTAAACGTTTTGCTACTCTACCCTCCCTCAGATTACTGTACAAGCCTGATTATGAATAATCGGAAACGTATGCTTTCCGATCTTGGCATTCCATTTTATTAACCTTGTTTATTGTGGTTAGCAGCGTCTTAGAAAAATTGCATCAGCATAACTTTTATTACAGTAAGTAAAATTTATTTACCGACCACTCACGTCGACTCACAATCAGGAAACTTTATTTTAAGATGTGGTATGGTAGCCCCACCTGATGGACACAATATTTTTGGGGTTGGGGTTTAAGAGTTAGAGGTTATAGTTAGGGGCTATGGCTAGGGCTAAAGGTTAGGGTTAACGGTTGGGGTTAAGGATAAGCGATTATAATTAGGGGTTGGGGTTAGGGGTTAGTGCAACTATTTCTCAACCACTAGAAGTACAACCACGCACCCTCAAGAGCTTTTATTCTGCATACAACTACTTGGCCTTGTCGCCTATGTGTTCCCCGGCTCAACCTTTAAAAACCCCTATTACCGCCGGTCCCGTATGAGAGGTGACTGGGGTTTGTTTACTTCAGGTAGGGTCACCAAACCACATCCGACCAACTTTATACAGCATTCAATTCTTACAGGCGCTGAAACAGACTCCTCGAGTTCGCAAAACTCCAATGGAATCTGCCCGCTGACGGCCATTTACGATGTGCCAAAGCTAAAAACAGTTTGGCCATGAGTTTAAATCTAAAAGTAAAGGCGGTATGCTCCCAGGCATTCTATAAAGGAGTATCAAGCCGAAGGGCGTCAAGTATCCGACTCCCTCTTGCGTCTTAAGATAGGTGTCTCCAAGTATACCTCTTACTGTGTAACTGTAGTTAGCGGAGGCGGCTATTTGATAACCACTATTACATCTAAAAAACGGAGAAATTCTCAAATGGGATTTAATGAGGCAAAAGTGCATTTATTCACGGGTGGGGAAAATGGAACCAGCAAGGGTCATTGCCTCCATTTTTTTAAAGATCGCACAGAGTTTACTTATTACCACAGACAGTGTAAGAAGCGCAACTAGTCAATAAGTGTGGAACAACACGATTGGAGCACCTTAACCAGTCAGATTCTGCCAAGTGTATTTGATCACAAGCAGCTGATTGGCAGGAGCAGATGAAAGGGGTGAAATGGTTCACACTATCAAAGCTGTCGAGAACGTAACGCTTAGGGACGCCACCGCCGCTAAAATATTATAATAGGACTTGGAATTAATATCTGACGGTTAGAAAGACTATTACTGATGAGGGATTGTGGACAGCACAGGCCGGAGGATGATCAAGAATAGATAAAATTAGAACGGAGTTGGTGGTGATCTTGTGTGTCGTTACTACCACAGAGGTACCCAAATGAATTCCTCAACTGCCGGTATTTCATCAGATATAAACACAGAGGAATATTCTACTGTAGGTGAAAAAGGACGTTAGCTAAAAGTAACGAAAATGATAAATTGATACGGTAGGAGTGGTTGGCTGCCAGAAACGTGAAGGACCAGACGTGAGACTTAAATGTGACAGCAACGACAGATAAAGGCGGAATTTTAAGATCAAATGAGATCAACCGGCTCGACAAATGAAGAAGTAGAAGTTCTAGCAAAAAAAACGTTTGAAATGCAGGGGCCCCGTCAACGAAGATGGGTCAGACTGGGAGGCCCGTTAGTGATTTCCCTGCAATAGTCAGCGTCGTTTTTGATTCGTAACATGTACTATCACAGAATAGTGCGCCTACCAATCAGATTACGAGACCTGTTCATCCAGCTATGCCTCGTAACTCAGTCCAGGGCCTTCAAAAGCAGTTGCGTGGCGACCAGTGATATATGCAAGGAAGGAGTGCCAACAACATACCCTTCTGCGACAGTGAATATTGCAGATCGGGGTGTGGGAGTGTCCAGTTCTGGGTCCGCGTGAAAGTCGTAGTAGGTCGCTCCCTTGCTTGCAGGTATTGAGTACGCCTAGCGTCCATGAACTAGCACTCAACTCCCACATGTGGCTCCCTGAGCTTGGCTGCAAGACCCGGTTCTCCAAACAAGGCCAACTGGAGGAGGTGGGTGCCGGCCACACCGTCTGTCGCCCCAAGTCAGAGTGACAAGACGCGGGCGTCGCCTTACCATTCGAGGCGACATCGAGGGACGACTGCCCTGTCTGCCGCAGGGCACCAACGACCGATTTATGGGCCTGCACCTGTCTCTTCATGGATCCAACTTCGCCACCATCATCAGCGCCTACGATGACTGGCTCAGACGAGGCGAAGGCAAAGTTCTACGATGACCTACACGCCCTCCTGACGAGTATGGCGAAGGCGGATAAGTTGACTGACCTTGGTAACCTCAACGCCCGTATCGGCATAGATCATGCTGCCTGGAGATAAGTGCCAGCTCCCCACTGTCTCGACGGCTCCAAAGACAATGGTCCACTCCTCCTACGAACCTGCGCAGAACACCACCTCATCCTGACCAACACCTACTTCCGCCTTCCGACGCGAGAGGAGGCCACCTGCATGCACCCTCGGTCGCGGCACTGGCACCTACCGGACTATGTCCTCGCCCGTAAGCTAGACCAGCGGGACGTACTGGTGACAAAGACGATCCCGGGTGCCAAAGGATAGACCGAGCATCGCCTCGTCAACTCCAAGGTGCAGATCTGCCCACATCCTTGCAGGAGACCTCAAGGTAAGCGACCCCCAGGCAAGCTGAATATTGCTTTGTCGTCTTTGCCTGCTCACCATCTCCATTTCAGCAATGAACTAGCCCAAAGGCTAGCCAACCTTCCAGTCGCCGCCACTGCCGTCGACGGTAACGCCTTCGTGGAGAATTGATGGTGTCAACTGAGGGACACGGTTCAGTCGACCGCCCTGGCTGTCCTCAGCCGCGCACGTAGCAAACATCAGGACTGATTCGACGGCAATGACGCCGCCATCAGCAACCTGCTCACCGAGGAGAACCGTCTGCACGAAGCTTACGTCAACGGCCCCACCGACGACAATAAAGCAGCCTCCAACCGTAGTCTCCGCCCTGAGCAACAGCGACTGTGGGATATGCATGAGGTGTGGCGCCAAGGACAGGTCCCTCAGGACTTCAATCGTCCACCTCCACAAGCGAAAAGGAAACTGCCAACCCTGCGACAACCGCAGTGGGTTCTCGCCATCGTAGTGAAGCAGGGCTGCGTCCTCGCGCCTACCCTCTTCAGTCTCATGTTGTCTGACAAGTTAATGGACGCCTACCGTGGCGAACACCCGGGATCGCCATTGTCTACAGAACGGACGTCTAACTCCTCAATCGTAAACGAATGTACTTCTAGTCGCGTATGCCCCAACTACCGTCGACGAACTTCGCTTCGCCGACGATTGCGCTCTCAAGGCAACCACAGAATGGGACATGCAAAGGAGCATGGACCTCTTTGCAGCCGCCTGTGACAACTTCGACCTCATCATCAACAGAGAGAAAATGGTGGTTATGCACCAGCCGTCACCTGACACTTCCTACTTCGAACCCCAAATCAAATTGAACGGCGCTTAACCGCAAGCCGCGGACAACTTCACCTACCTGGACAGCACCCTCTCTTGTAACACCAAAATCGACAATGGAGCGGCCCGCCGGATTTCTAATGCCAGTAGGGCCTTCGGTCGCCTGCATAACACAGCCCGGAATGGTCACGGTCTCCACCCCAGCACCAAAATCAGTATGTACAAGGCTGTCATCTTGCCGAGACTGCGTGTAGCGGAGACTTGGACGGTGTACAAGTAGTAGTCGTGGAGGCTCAACCGCCTCCACCTCAGCTGTCTTCGACAGATATTGAAGCTGAGGTGGCAGGACCGGATCCCGTACACAGACGTACTGAAAGGAACAGGAACCTTCAGCATCCATGTCGTGCTGAGACAATTGCATCCGCGCTGGAGCAGCCACGTGCGAAAGGACGACGAGCGACTACCAAGACGACTCTTTTATGGAGATGTCGCCATGGGTTCCCGTCGACAAGGAGGTAAAACCCACTTGCACTCGCCACCTCCGCCTCAAGTGTCCACATTGCCACTTTGTACCCACACATTTACTCACCACATGGGCCTACTCGGTCACATGCGCATTCATGAACACTCGCGGTAGAAAACCGCCGGCCACACCACACCATCACACCCCCCTCCCTCACCAGCATTCGCATCACACAACAGCATCATCCACCGCAAGCACCCGATGGCCACCTCCCACGCATGCTGGAAGTGTGCTCCTCGATTCCACCTCCATGCGACTCCTCTGCTGCATGTGCTATCCGAGTGTGAGACTATTGCAGTGCGTCAGGCGTCCTGGCTTGGAAGGCTACCGACTGACGTCTCAACTCATTCCACGCACTCTGCCCAGCTGTGTGCGTTTGTGTGGAGTGGCGGACTGGTGGGCCGAGAGCAAGACTGTCACGGATCCTCAGAGTGGCCTTTAGCACTCTCACGCATGTGAGGATTGTGCGCGTACTTTATGGGTAGTGCCCCTCAGTCGTCGACTGTTTGGTAACCCAGCCTTTAAAGGGTGATGGCCCACGATAAATGCAGGGCTGTATGTCACCCAATAAATGTGATTCAAGAAATGTAAATATTCTGGTTCCCTGCCGTTAGATGCGCCTGCGCTCTCGCTGGGCATACAGGGCGTGAGCATGGCTGCCCAGTCATCCTCGCCTGTCCGATCCCTTGTGGTGCTGTTGTTGGTTAAAATCTTGATCAAGCGTTCCTTGTGGACAAGGGGGTGTGGTGGTACACCTATGCAGGTGCGGGTCCGGCCGTGCCAGTCACCTGCGCCTACACCCCGCCCTCCGGTCTTTTTGACTGTTCTCGACGCCGGGCCCAAGTGGGGAGGTAGAGTGCGGTAGATGCTTCGCAAGTCCACTCTCACTGTAAACTAGCTTACGCGCAGGTCACCCTGCCTGCTTCACTTTGCCGTGAAGCACATGGTGGACATCGTCGAGTACGACAGTCTAACTGTTAACATTGCCATCGCAACCGACAGGACAACAAGTCCGTGGCTCAAGAGCGGAACGCTGGATTATTTAACGCTCGAAAACCAAAGGAACTGTGTTAGAATCACGGGTCAGCAAAATCTGGGGATGGGTATGGCTGGCTGACTCTGGATGGAGTCGCAAGGCAAAGCGTGAACGTGCCTTCCTACAATGAAGCAGCATTCCACGTTCAGTGAAGGACAAAATCAGTTAGGTCAATTAGCTCAATTAGAAACAGGCGATTCAAGACTCACACTGACTCCCTGTATGCTGTGTTCGAAAGGACGATAGAGTGTTACAGTTTAAAGGCAACACAACTATTTGCAGTCGTTCTACTGCCCAAACATCCTACAATCTTTTCTGACCCCGGTTTGGATTGACAGAAGGAATGAAGCACGGACTTTACGAATGCCATTGAATATTCAAGAGACGAGTGAGCCAGCAAAAAGCATAGGGCGTATTCACATGGCTGGTCAACAGCGTAGTCCGGCGGCCGTCAAACTGGCAGTAGATCAACGTACTCTGGAAATGTGTTAAGCCAGTAATGCGATGCAGCACCCACGCTAGTGATCGAAAGCGGCTAACTGGTCGGATGAATAGTCGCCGACCCAAGCGGATGCGAGGGCACCGCCCTGCTTGGCTAGATCAAGGCATGGAAATGTCGACCTCTGGAGCAATTGTGGCTCACATGGTTGATAGTGGCTACTGGGTGAACGTCAGCCAGGCACTATGAGTTGTCTATGAACTGTCGGCGAGAGGCCTTTAACCCTATTCCCAACAGCTACTGTTCATCGGCTGTTTTCAATTTTTGTTGCACTACTGCAACTTACTCATATTACAACACAGGTCTGAGGATAAATAATCGAAAAAGTGCGTTCGCCTATTTTGACGTCTTCAATGTTTAAGTGGGTACCATCGTAGAATTGCGCATGTCTCAAGACAGAAGTACGCACAACCTCGCTCAACGCTCGTAGTGGCTTCCACAAATCCAGTTTAATATAAGTTAGCACATGGCCTTTTCGACTGCATTTCGCGCTGTCAGAACAGAACATGATTCTGGAAGACAAGACTGGGGTAGTCCTAGTGCTAAGTGATGCATGCAATAATCCTCACTGCAATACAAGTGCCTTATCGTCATCGCGCTAGTGGCGGAAGTCATGGCAATGCTGTGCGTAGAATAAGCAGTCTGCGTGCATACTTAAAGTGAAAGCGTTGTTATTAGTTGCCCACGACGATATAAAATGAAACTGATGTAGCTGCTCCATCAGCTTCATTTTCGAAGTCGCTTTAAGAAAGAGACTCAGGAAGAACTCATCACTTTTCCTGACAAAGGTGTAAACATACATCCGTCAGAATATTTGCCTCAGCCATCGCATGCACGAATTCAGCCAAAAACCCCAACAGGCCGAATTTGAGAGGCTTTGTCACGTAGAAGACTGCAGAAGGCTTCCAGGATTTACGGCAGACTTGCGAACTCGGAACTCGCCCAGGTAATTAGTAGCTCACCCCCAACTAAGGTGCACAGGGGTTTGAGATAAACTTGCGCGTGTCGTTACGGGCTCAAGTCGAAATTCCCACAATTCCAGACTCCAATTCTAGACTCAAGACTTCGATTTGCCGTGCTATACCATAGTATAAATATGCGTTAGAGATGCGGGCCTGACGCGGGGTTGGTTTCAGAACCCCAGACAGGACTGTTGAAGAACGTTCGAACTCTTGTGTCACAAAGGACCTTAACTCTGGATAAATTGGAGGCAGGAGTTACGCAGCAGGTAGCTACGGACATTGGTAAAAACCGATACGTGAGATATAAATAACA